AAGTTCAAAGGATAATACATCCTCATCCAGCGGAATCAGATAAAGGGGATACTCGCCTATAGTTAACAAGTGATGAATTTTTTCTTCCTCGAGTATCTGTCAGGATTGCATACAATTGTTAATGAGAAATGCATACCAAACTAAATCCAACAGAAGTTTACCTTTGATGTTAACAAAAAGGCTAACCTTCTCACATACAACTGCACGACGAGGGACAAAATAAACAAAATACTCCCTTTGAATCCCTTTAGAAATATCATGATGGATGTGTGAGCAAATGAACTTCATCAAGTCAAGCTGGGCTCGGACTAGATAGACTACTTTTGTGCAATCAGTTTGAACTGGTTCCGCATTAAGATGTCGCAATTCAGCCCCATGCTCCTGTTTATAGGTGTGAAAAACACCGAAAAGAAAAAAGTGTGAAAAAAGAAGCTAGTTCATGGAATCAGTATGTTTTCCACCCAATGTCACAGCAAACTCATTGAACTCTTTTCCTTAGTGAACTGTAAAATTTTACAATTCATACAACGCTCTTTCTCTAGCATCAATTCATTGTCTTAATCATAACCCAAAACACAAAGGGCAGTGCTGGTGCACTTTAGATTCTGCTATGTGCAGGATATGGAAAGGTCCCAAGAGGTTGTTTCAGATAGATGCAAAAAGTAAAAATAAAGGAGATATATCTACACTAGTCTAGGCTTTGGTAAGGCAAAGTTATCAGGTATATGTGCTAGTGAGAGATAATATGTACCCGTGGATAAGTCGAGGCATGCAAGTTGGCTAGGACCATAAAAATTAATTAAATAAATATATTTAAACTCAACAAACTAGGAATCACTATTGGAATTCTTTTGTTTTCCAACAATCATATTTGACTAGACATAAAAAATATGATTTGATCTAACCCACCATTGTTCTAGAGACAGACAGAGTACTAAAATTTCAAAAAAAAAAATACAACTAAACCATTGTACTGAGTTTGCAAAATGTGTTGATTTTGAGGTGCTCTCCAACAACAAAAAAAGTTCCCTTTTTTCAAAAAAGATTTCATTACTCAATTTTCAAAAACTCAAAAACAATGTAAATATTCAACCCAACAGAAATTTGCAATAACCCCAAAAAAAATGCAGTGCAAAAACTCAAAATTTCAACTCAAACTCAGTAAGGTGAATAATTCATTATAAAAACAGAGAGATAGAATTACCTTGAGGAGTGAGCTCTGTACAATAAGCGAGAGTGAACCTCCAAGCTTAGGATCAATCACCAAACACTTTTTCCCTCTAATCTGCAACTCCAACCAAAAAATCAATCAAAATTTCCGTTTTTTTCAGTTAAATTTACGAAAAAACAGCAGAAAAGAGGAATGAAACTCACGTTCTTCAAAATCGTAATCAACTCTTTCTGCGATTGATCTCTGTAAAGTCAATTTTTGAGAGAATTGTAATCAAATTGAAGATAAAATACTTGTGCATAAACATTGAAGTACATCATTATGCATACGTAATTGTACCTTAAAGATTTCAGATTTATCGGAGCATTATCCAAATTCGGAACTTGCGCCATTTTCGATCGATCTCTCAAGCTTTCGCTGTTCAATGATTTTTCTTTTAGTGGGGAAAGTTGAATATGGGCCTTTTGATATGGGCTTAAGCATGTTGGGCCTCAAATGGGTTTTATAATAAAGTGATCTTTATACAAATAACCGATTTAAAAAATTACATAAACGATGGTCTTTTATTTAATAATCACCATTTTTAAGCATACTTTTAATTTATTACTATTTTTATCAACTTTTAGCAATATTTATTTAAAATAATTTTAAAATAACTTTAATACATTTGTATGACAACACTAATTCATAATGCAAGCTTCAGTTTAAAATTTTCTTAAAACTTACATATGTCATAAAAATGAACTATAACTATTTTTAGTACACATTTAAATATTTTTTTCTCACCACTTATTATTTGTATGTAATACAAATGAATTATACATAGCATTTTTAACACACGCTTTGTAGTGATATACAACTAGAATATTTTTTAATAATTCATACATACTATTAGATATGTGTTAATACTTAACTAGAAGACAAAAATGATAATCCTTATACTGAACTAATCAACTTTTAAAACAAAATGCTAAAAAAGATTTTATTCCTTATTTTTTATTGGGATAATGCACAAGTACCCTCTTAACATATGTCCGAAATCTCAGAGACACACTTATACTATACTAAAGTCCTATTATCCCCCTGATCTTGTTTTATAAATAATTTTCTACCCCTTTTTGGCCTACGTAGCACTATTTTGTGGGCCCAACGCTAGTTGACTTTTATTATAAGCTAGTGTCACGTAGGCCAAAAAGGGATAAAAAATTACTTATAAAATAAGTTCATGGGGTAATAGGACCTTAGTATAGTATAAGTGTGTCTCTGGGATTTCGGATATAGGTTGAGACGATACTTGTGCATTTTCCCTTCTTTATCCTTTATCATAAGATCTAACATTTTTGCAAGTCTTCATGTTGTGATCTTGTTGTCCACAATTTTATGTTGAGTGGATCTCTTTTAAAAAATAATTACTTATTTTAAATACTATTTTATTCGTTGTATACATAAAACTTGTATAAATAATTAATTAGACAAGTAATTTAATCGTAACAAATGAAGTGACATAATAAACTGCCAAATGAATTAAACTTGAATTAAAAATGTATTACAGTCATATTAAAATTGAATTAGAAACGAATTAAACATGAATGCAAAATGTAGCCAACAAAAGAGTACTATGCGATTTGTAAATTGAATAACTTTTATTAATAATGAATTAAACAAGCAATTCAATCATAACAAATCAACCAATAAACAACAAAATGAATTAACTTGTATTAAAAGTGCATTACACAAATATTAAAGTTGAATTAGAAGAGAGAATTATGAATGAATTAAAAAAAAGCAACTAATGAAACACCAGACAATGAATTAAACAAGTAATCTAATACTAACAAATAACAAACTACAAAATGAATTAAATTTGCATTAAAAGTGTATTACACAATATTAAAGTTGAATTAGAAGAGAAATTTCATAGTGAAAAATGTAACTAATGAAAGTCAAGACAATCATTTATAGATTAAGTTAAACTTGTATTATTCATGAATAAATTATATATTATAAATTAATTTGATTTGTATCTCTAAAAAAATGAGTGATGTTTGCAATATGTATTATGCCTATGTTATATATGTATTACAAGTTTTTTACTTAAATTATTTTGGTTAATATCAATATAAAAAAAGGAGTGAAGTTTGTAATATGTATTATAAATGTATTGTTCATGATTTTAATACAATTATGAAACATATCTAATACAATTTTAATATAATTGCGATATAGTTCCACCAACTTCACTTTTTTCGAATTTTAAGTTAAAATTTCTCCTAAAATCAATTATAAACTTAATCAAACCCTCTTAAAATTGAGATATAAACTCCAAACGACATTTTCAATTATTTGTAGGAACTACCTATTCAAACTAATCACAAATTCGTAAAATTCAAATGATGAATTCAAACTTTGAAACTTTATGATGACCATCAATGGTGAGATCTTGCTTCTGTAATTTTAATGATATGAAATTTCTGCTTAAAAATGTAATTTTTAATAAGTTTTCGGTCTTTCTATTCCTCCTTTCATCTTATTTTTTGATAAAATAGTGTCATATGGGCATAAATTGATCTGAGGATGGTTATTTAGATGAATAAAAAAAAGAAAAGGAGGAACATAATAAAGCTAGAGAAAGAGACGAAGAAGTAGAAGAATAGCAAAAAAAAGAAAGAAAAAAGAGATGAAAAAGCAGAAGAGAAAAAAAAGACAAGAAGCAAAAGAGTGAAAAGAAGAAGCGGAAAAAGGGTTAAGAAAAAGATGATAACTGTACAATTTTTTAAATAAAAAAAAATGTCATATTTAGTTAGAAAAAATATGTTGACATAGATGATAAATATTTTTATAATATAGCATATTTATGTTATTTACCCCTTCATTATTTGCTTTTTTTAACTAACGAAATTATTTAATGTTGAGATTGTATATTGTACACAAATATTATCTTTACCACGAATAAAAAAGATAAAGATATTGTTTTCGATAGATATTCAACTCAAGGACTAGTTTTAATTTAAATGATTGGGTGAATGGATATTGAAAAATTACATAAATTAATACAATTTAAAAAACAATTACTGATTTTAGCGATACCTTTTGTTTATTACCATTTGTAGCAATGCTTTGTTAAATATGTAATATGTATTAAAAGTGAATTATGTATGCAATATATATGAATTATAATTATTTTTTGAAATATATCATAATATATTATAAGTGTATTAAAATGTGTAATAAATATATTATTCACCATTAAAATTTGTATTATATGTGAATAATAAATTGTTCTTTGTAATATGTATTAAACTTGTATGATAAATGAATTAAAGTGATCAAGTGAAAAAAAATATTATTGCTGCAAATGGTAAATATTTTTTTATTGTAGTATATTTATGTAAGTTTCCCAATGAATATTTCGGTTAATTGAAGTTTATAAAGTTAAACAATTTAGTGATCTCAAATTCGGGAGTTTTTTTTTTCCGGGGGCGTGGAGGATAAGGAAATGGAAGAAAGGATTATAAGATTTAAGCATCGAACTTTACCAACAAGATAAAGTTTAGATAGTTAATAAACACAATATTCTCTAATGTGAAATATAAAACTTTATATATATTAAATTTGAAATTGAATCTACTGAAATGTTTGAGAAGGAAAAATAAATAAATAAAAAGATGATTTTGGTCATATTTTATAAAGTTAAAAGGCATTTTTTATTAAATGAAAATTACAAGAATATATAAAAAAATTAAAAAATATGGATGTATTTAACTAAAGTCAAAAATAAATTAAATGCCATGCATATATATATTTGTCACTTTGTTCTTCACACTCTCCTCGTTTTCTTCTCCCTTTTCAAGAATAAAAACCGTCATCTTTCTCCTTTCATCTTCATTTCGTTAGAACCAAGAAAAAAGTTTGAAACAAACCATAAAACCCAAATCCATCTTCTCCGATCATTCATTTTCATCTTCTCCGGTCCTGTAGCCTCTTCTCCGTTGCTAAATCCGTTACAGAAAGCGAAAAAATCCCTGTCCAGCTCTCAATTCATTTATCTAACTTAAACTCTTGATTTCAATTTCAACTTCAGTTCAGTTTCAATTTTTAACCTACCCTTAAATCCAGTTTGATCCTGAATTATTTCCATCTTCTGCCATGAATAGAAGAGGAGGTAGATCAGAAAGTAAACAGTGTTTAAATCACGTATCCAGTGATTTTGTTGGTAATACTAACGAGGAACGATCTGCATTGGTGGCTACATCTTTGTCAGGTAAAATTAGCAAAACTCGAGGAAATAGTTTAAATTTTGCTCATAGAAATGTTCACTCTAGAATGGTTAAAAGTAGGATTTCAAAAAAGAAGCTTGTTGCAGATGAAATTATTTTTATAAACAACGAGTCATATTCTGAGGCTTTAGTTGCGATAACGGCCGGATTTCCGTCTGACTCGTTAAAGGATGAAGAAATCGAAGCTGGAGTTGTTAGTGAAGATGGAGGGACAGAAGTGTACAACTATATTTTACTTAGGAATCACATTATCACGAAATGGCGTGGAAATGTGTCTATCTGGCTGACTAAGGATATGTTTGTTGATGTTATACCTGAACAATATAGTGGATTATTAGATTCTGCATATAACTACCTGTTATCATACGGGTACGTTAATTTTGGGGTGACATTGGCAATTAAGGACAAGATTCCAACTAGGCCAAGTAAGGGAAGAGTGATCGTTATCGGGGCAGGTCTTGCTGGGTTGGCGGCTGCAAGGCAACTGATGTTGTTTGGATTTGAGGTGATTGTTTTGGAGGGACGAAAGCGTGCAGGTGGAAGGGTGTATACAAAAAAGATGGAAGGAGGGAATAAAATAGCAGCCGCTGACTTAGGAGGGAGTGTTTTGACAAGTACATTAGGGAATCCGCTGGGTGTGTTGGCTCGACAATTGTCATATACACTTCATACGGTGAGAGACCGATGTCCACTCTATCATGCTGACGGAACGCCCGTAGACGAGTATTTGGATAAAAAAGTGGAGGTTGCTTATAATGAACTTTTGGAAAAGGCAAGCAAGGTCAGACAAGACTTATCTCCGATTATTTCTCTTGGAGAGGCATTGGAAACTTTGCGAAAGGATTCTAGTGTTGCGATGAATGATGAGGAGATGAACTTGTTTAACTGGCATTTGGCAAATTTGGAATATGCAAATGCAAGTTTGCTTTCAAAGCTTTCCTTAAGATTTTGGGACCAAGATGACCCCTATGACATGGGAGGGGATCACTGCTTCTTGCCCGGTGGAAATGGAAGATTAATTGATGCATTGGCCGAAAATGTGCCTATTAGTTTTGAAAAAACTGTGCATACCATTCGTTACGGTAGAGATAGAGTGAAGGTGATTACTGCGGGACAAGTATTTGAGGGAGATATGGTATTGTGCACGGTTCCTCTCGGAGTTCTAAAGCGTGGTTCTATCAGTTTCTTTCCAGAGTTGCCTCAACGAAAGCTGGATACAATAAGAAGATTGGGTTTTGGACTATTAAACAAAGTTGCATTGTTATTCCCGTATGTGTTTTGGGACTCCAACGTTGATACATTTGGTCATGTTGCTGATGATTCTAAGCATCGGGGGGAATTCTTTCTGTTCTACAATTATGCAACTGTTTCTGGTGGCCCTTTATTGTTAGCTCTAGTCGCAGGAAAAGCTGCACATAGATTTGAGAGAATGACTCCTACTGATGCAGTAACCAAAGTGCTTCAAATTTTAAAAGGTAAATTCCCAAGTTCGACATTACCTGTGCTTTCAATATACCAAAATAATATTTTTCTTTCTCTTGATTAGAATAGTATTTGGTGGCGGACTAACAAGTACAGAATAATAAACTCTGCGAGCAATAAAATAAGAATGTACATGCTCGAGAAGTGAATTCATGTTATCTTGGTCTAGAGTTAAGCCGTTGTAACAGTGTTAGTGTCATGCCCATTTCGTATTCATTGATTTCAGTCTGAAGCATGTATACATTGTCTTGTTTGAGAATTGAGATACTTAAGAATATGAAGTCGAGTTTTTTTTAAAAATGCATCGATTATATTAAATATGAAAGTTATGTTTCTTGTGGTCATGAAGCTAATGTATTGATGAGATTTGGGCGTTATTATCAGGTATATATGAACCACAAGGCATTAACGTCCCAAAGCCCATTCAAATTGTATTTACAAGCTGGGGTAGTGATCCGTTCAGCTATGGTTCCTACTCCAGTGTTGCTGTGGGTGCATCAGGAGACGACTACGACATTTTAGCAGAAACTGTGGGGGACGGAAGACTTTTCTTTGCTGGTGAGGCAACTACCAGGCACTATCCAGCAACGATGCATGGAGCATTTCTCACTGGACTTAGAGAAGCTGCAAAGATGGCCCATCACGCTAGTGTTAGAACATCGCATTTGCAGGCTGAGAAAAAATAATGAGATAAGGTATACTTCAGATCTTTTTAAAGGCATGTGTAATGTTTATTTAGACACTGACAACCAAGAACTTAAGTTGATACAAAATATAATGTTGTTTTTAAATAATTGACCGTTATACTGAATGGTGTAGAATTAACTTATCTCTTTCTACAAACATCTTATTTCTTCGTTCTATTTACTAATTGCTCATGTATGAATTAGTTTCTAGATATGCCCGAGTTATCTTATTATCTTGGGACATAGTTGTTCATTAACTCTATCATTTTTCTATATCGACATTGTTTGCATGATCATTTTATGCACTAAATGCTGAAATAAGATAACGGGACCAGACCAGACCACACAGGCTAAATGGAAGCAACGAGACCAATTAGTAGGAGAAACTTTACTTAATGTAATGTAATTATTGTGGGCTATAACGACAACAACAACAAATTTAGTGTAATCCCACATGTGAAGACCGAGGAGGGTAGAGTGTGTATAAGTCTTACCTTTACCTTGAGAAGCTAGAGAAGTTGTTTTTGATAGACCTTCAACGATATTTTATAATAATAGGTAGTAATAGTAATTTGAAGATAAAGAAAAACAAGAAGAATAATGCTAATACTCTGAGAATGGGGTCTATTCTATTCTTCGACCTCCATACTTACTATCAAGGACCACGTCCTCGGTGAGATGAGGCTATGCAATATCCCGCCTAGTCACATCACCCCGAATAATTCTTAGGCCAATCTCTACCCATCCTCAAGTCAACAATGACTAACCTTTCACACCTCATAACTGGGGCATGGCCGGTCCATCTCAACTTCACTTCCGCATCAATACTTCGAAATCAATTAAGCTTTTATATAATGAACAAGTGTGTAGAACTCAATACATTCTTGATTTTCAAAAATGTGTGTTCATTACAAATTGACAAGTATTTAAGAATAATATATGCAAGGGTATATGATTTTAAATATAAGTAGTTTTTCTCGAATAGCTAGGGTTAAAATGGACAATGATGAATTTGGGAGGAGATATTGTAACACAAGTTGTTGCTATAAAACTTATGAAAAGAATTTCACACTATTCATCTAGACAAAGTGATACTGTTGTTCAATTTTTTAATTTGTTTGATCTTCATTGATCAATCTTGCAATTTCATTTACTTTTTTAGAAAAAGGTGTAATAGTTATAATAACAACATACCTAGTGTAGTCAAGGTGGGTCTGTGGACGGTAGTGTCTAACGAGACCTACCCCTACTGGGGAGGTAGAAAGGAAATACCTCAGCACATGTATCGTGTAAATGCAAAACCAAAACAGCAAAATTACTATCAAGCGTTTGCCGAATTCTATGAGATGGTGTGTTGTCTCCTTCATCAAGCTACCTAAATAGGATAACCATTAATCATTCTCAATTTTTATACTTAGTAGATCAAACACATTTTAAGATAATATTAACGTGATTTTGTAAAAAATATTTACTTATTGGAAACACGGTACATGTGCTACGTGCATGCCCCGAGACTAAAAAATGGGAACATAAAGTAAGATATTGGAAGTCCAAAAAGCTCCACGAGAGTTGACTGACCATTTTACCCTTCCAAAACCAATACATTAATTTTCTTAGTTACTCTTTAGAGAAAGATATTTAAAATTTATATTGACCGATACACTCATATAGACCGCATTTATATGCAAAAGAGTTAACATTCATGTGCCGCACTAAATTTGAAAGTATGAAATGTTTCACTAATATAGACCACATTCATATGCCGCACTAAAAGCTAATTTGAATAGTCATTTCCTAAGGCTGTATTTACCTATTTGAGTTAGAAAGATATCACGTATTAACATTAACATCTTTTTGTTTAGCGCTAAAGGAAACTAGATATTGAACATCTAGTCCGATTTTATTTCCTGGTTTAAAGCTCTATAAGGATTATATGTAGACGAAGAATAACTGCACTACTATGCATGATTATACCTTTAGTTTATTACCTAGAAGAGTTAATCTTATAATGCAGGTTCATAGCCTCTTTTGTACTCCATGCTACTACTTTTAATTACTTGCACAGTCTAACTTTAACCGTAAATCAACAGTCAGCAAAAACTAAAAATATGAATACGATAATTGTCTGTGATACACGTATTACTAAATTTTGTAGATCTTCATTAAACGACAAAAAATCTCCCTTATTTGTATTTTCTTGTGATTTTGTTTTTGGTTTCGATCTGTTTTATTGTTTACTTTTAAATATTTACGTCATTTGTATCTGTAGCATATATTAGACTTGAGACTAACATTTCATATATTTTGTGCTCTTTTTTGTTTACAGTTTCAACTTCTTTACGGATCCCCAGAAAGGCTAATAAAGTTGGCAAAGGCAATGAAAGCACTTTATCTATTGGGAATATCAGAACTAATGTAATTGCGAGTTGCTTTAGCTCTACGCCTTTAGGCTTTGGCAAGTAAGAAATTGACCCTTCTACTGGTTTGTGGTAAGGGATCTCACTTCCTCCGAGTTTGAAATTCTTGTAATGGAAATATGGATCTATGCTTCCATTCCTGAGAAAACTTCTTGCCCGAGCTTGCCTTATCCAAAAATCCCACTTTTTTATATCCAAATGCTCATCCATTGGATTTCCATCAACTCGAAAACTAGAATCATCAGCAACATGACCAAATGTATCAATGTTGGAGTCCCAAAACACATACGGGAATAACAATGCAACTTTGTTTAATAGTCCAAAACCCAATCTTCTTATTGTATCCAGCTTTCGTTGAGGCAACTCTGGAAAGAACCTGATAGAACCACGCTTTAGAACTCCGAGAGGAACCGTGCACAATACCATATCTCCCTCAAATACTTGTCCTGCAGTAATTACCTTCACTCTATCTCTACCGTAACGAATGGTATGCACAGTTTTTTCAAAACTAATAGGCACATTTTCGGCCAATGCATCAATTAATCTTCCATTTCCACCGGGCAAGAAGCGGTGATCCCCTCCCATATCATAGGAGTCATCTTGGTCCCAAAATGCTAAGGAAAGCTTTGAAAGCAAACTTGCATTTGCATATTCTAGATTTGCCAAATGCCAGTTAAACAAGTTCATCTCCTCATCATTCATCGAAACACTAGAATCCTTTCGCAAAGTTTCTAATGCCTCTCCAAGAGAAAATAATCGGAGATATGTCTTGTCTGATCTTGCTTGCCTTTTCCAAAAGTTCATTATAAGCAACCTCCACTTTTTTATCCAAATACTCGTCTACGGGCATTCAGTCAGCATGATAGAGTGGACATTCGTCTCTCACCGTATGAAGTGTATATGACAATTGTCGAGCCAACACACCCAGCGGATTCCCTAATGTACCTGTCAAAACACTCCCTTCAAAGTCAGCGGCTGCTATTTTATTCCCTCCTTCCATCTTTTTTGTGTACACCCTTCCACCTGCACGCTTTTGTTCCTCCAAAACAATCACCTCAAATCCAAATAACATCAGTTGCCTTGCAGCCGCCAATCCAGCAAGACCTGCCCCGATAACGATCACTCTTCCCTTACTTGGCCTAGTTGGAATCTTGTCCTTAATTGCCAATGTCACCCCAAAATTAACATACGCGTACGATAACAAGTAGTTATTTGTAGAATCTAATAACCCACTATATCGTTCATGTATAATGTCAACAAACATATCCTTTGTCACCCAGATAGACACATTTTCACGTCATTTCGTGATAATGTGATTCCTAATTAAAATATAGTTATACACTTCTGTCCCGCCACCTTCACTAACAACTCCAGCTTTGATTTCTTCATCCTTTAACGAGTCAGACGGAAATCCGGCCGTTAACGCAACTAAAGCCTTAGAATATGACTCATTGTTTATACAAATAATTTCATCTGAAACAAGCTTCTTTTTTGAAATCCTACTTTTAACCATTTTAGACTGAACATTTCTATGAGCAAAATTAGAACTTTTTCCTCGAGTATAGCTAATTTTACCTGAGGAAGATGTAGCCACCAATGCAGATTGTTCCTCGTTAGTATTACCGACAAAATCATTGGATACGTGATTTAAACACTGTTTACTTTCTGATCTACCTCCTCTTCTATTCATCGCATGAGATGGAAATGATTCAGAATCAAACCGGATTTAGGGGTAGGGTTAGAATTTGGAACTGAACTGAAACTGGAAGTGAAATTTTTGGGTTTAAGTTAGGCAAATGGATTGGGAATCGGAGAGGAATTTTGTCGACTCAAATTCGAGCATTGGTGATAAGTTTTGTGTTGGTGTCACTGGCTCTACTTCTTCTATTGGCTGGTGGGAGCACTATCCATGCTTCAAATACTTCTGAAGATGGCACAGGTACATGTGCTTCGTCTCCCGGTGCAAATCATGGTGATTGGTAAAAGGCATTATGGTAGAAGCACAAACTTTATATTTCTTGGCTCTTCTACGGTAATTATCTATATGTCATTTATCTCTTTCCTCAATTAAATCTTACAGCTTTTAAGCTTCTGTATAATATCTGTTGTATGATTGTGTTCTAATAGCCCGTCTTAAAACCACCTAGATTTATGACGGTGTGATTACAGTTAACATAGATCTGATTATCGACCTTGATGTTGTGTCTTGCAGGTGATTGGAATCCGTTATAGGTGTCTATCAACTCTTTTGCTTATTGTGTGCAGGAACTGTATATTTGAGCAGCTCTTTCGTTATCTTAAGACGAAAGAATTATGTGCTGTATTATTGTGTGCTATTGTGCATGTATTGTCATGAGAAAGATTTCACTATTGCTAGCAGAGTAACAGGTGAAAAAGCGCCTTTTACATAAGTAAGCAATTTGAAATTTTTGATTTTTTTGATCTTTTCTGCATTGAATTGAATGTGTTGTAACACCTCCTTATCTACACTACTTACTTATTAGAGATCTTTTTGTCTCAGATGTACTCGAGCAGTTGCGTTAGGCCAAGTAGGTGTGCAGGTTCAGATTTTCTTTGTTTATTTCTGAGCATTTCTCAGATGATAAAAGCTTCAGTCCTCTGTTTGATTGCTTCCATATCAGGCGTCAACATTCTGCCTCAGCATAACATCTATCTTTGTTGATATCTTCAAAGGATCTTTATCCTCATTGTGTAAGTGAACTTGAAGTTTTACTCAGAATGATCGGTTGAACAAACATTTATGTTGCTGGGATCTTTAGCCTATCTGAAAGCATTAAACTATCACAGAACAACAGCTTGTCAAGTTCCTTCAATAGTTTTAAGGTCAAAATTCGCAGAGATGAATATATCGATGTTAATTTAGTACTATTAGCACCCGTGCTTTGTAAAATATAGTGAGATTTTTGTTACTGCTAAGTGACACAGATACAGTAAATAATTCTCACTGTTTGTGTTTGTGTATGTATGTGTTTTCATCGCTGAAGCTGGATTAACTGTATGTGTTTTGAAAGCAGAAGTTGGATGTATGTGGAAACTGTACCTAAGTAGTGTCGATTTTTCAGCGCCATTTCTTTGTCAACTAAGTTACTATTATTTGCCTGCAGTGAATGCTCACAAATCCATATTGCTCAAAATGTTCATGAGATTCAGGATTGAAACCAACAATAGTCGCAGAAGCTTCCACTCCTGCAAGAAGAGATCGATTGATGATGTGCTAATTCCTATTGAGTCTTGCCATATGTATGATCTTTCTGGCACGCGCATTAAGCATGAGACAGAACTCCAGCAGATGTAGAACTTTGCAGCCAAGCTGACAGTGCATTTAATTCTAAGGTTTGTCTTGTGCCGCTGGTTCTACAACTAATTACTGCTCTCTTTATGTTTTAGCTAGTCAATAGCAATAGTGATGTTTAGATTGTTATTTCTGTTCGTCACTTGAAGCAACTTATTTTAGTTTTTCACTTCCTGTTGCCTTGACGTAAGATGAGATATGGTTTCAGTTGTGGATTTGTACTTGAGACTATTTCGAGTTTTTCATCCCTCATATAAAATACAAAGTCTTCAACATTTGCAGGTTTGTTGTCCCAACCTGAAAAGGCTATATATCATTGGGCCTAACGGCATAAGTGCTCTATGGTCTCACCAACTGCCTATTTCCGCAAACTTCAAATGAGTGACAGTATCAGATTGTGGAAAATTGATGTCTCGATCAGTGACCAGAGCTTTCTGAATCATTTGTTCAACACTCTGAGTTGGGCAATGACGGAATTTTCAGTTTCTACCTATTTTGTACTAGTTATAGGTAGTATCTTGGTTTTTTGGGGTGCCGGTGTTGAATATCTTAACTGAGGGTGACTTTGGATAATGTCTTGCAAAGGTGAAATAGTAGTTTATGGGATTGCGGGAATCTTTTGTTGTTTTCTTTTCTGATGTGTATTGAAATGTTTATGTGCCTTTCCAGGTGTTGGAGTTTCAGCAGAGGAAATGCAGTGTCATATTTGATCTATCCTGCAATCTTGCAAGGATTTTAGAATTTTGTACCCATGAGATACCTCAAGCGTTTATCTCTGGGGCAGATACAAATTTGCAAAGGCTGACTGAAGTGATCGTCTTTATACTAAACCACTTAATTTCTGCAGCTGATCAAGAACTTTTTGAGTCGCGTAAGGTTCCTCAAGTATATGCCTGTGATGAGGCTAGACATTGTTCTCCCTGAAAGTGAAGAAAGTTGTCTAGTCGCGTAAGGTTCCTTTACTAGCTGTTCTACGTAGGTTAACATACACTGTGTTTGCGTTATAAAGATGTATAGAAGTCTGGAAATGTGACTTTCATTATATTGTTCATTGAGTGACTTAACTATTGAGGCTGCAGTCTTTGTTTTGCCTCTGTAATGTGAGGATCAGGGAACCCATTTCAACTAATAGAAGTTCAACACAATTGCTATATTGTAAGATTGAAGCTTCCTCTTTCCTTGTCCTTTGAACACGTATGATGATCTCTCATTTCTATGTTTCATGTTCTTCAGAGAACAGTAACGTTTCATCGTTGTTGACCTCTGGTGCAAGAGCTGTCATCTGCTGGTAATGTCGTGTCATCATTAGAACAGATTACAGATGGCTCATCATTCTTTGCTGGTTTAGGTTCTATGGCATCCATCTGAGGCCATTTGAATCCACACTCTTTCATTGACCTGACCATGACGATAGAATCTGCTGTGTGCAAAGTCACTTGACGAGATTTTCCCTCTGTTTTGCTAGTGAGATTGATGAGGTTGGGCACTGCAGTGTGTGTATGTTGTTGAACATAGAAAAGCCCCGCTGAGGGCTCGTTTGCAATGAACTTTATCATGTCCATCAACGACTCGGTTATCTCTACAAATCCATCCACTGTTGAAAACACATGCATTTTCTTGATCGCGAAAGGTTCTTCATCACTGGTAGTGCAAGAAAACAAATGCAGACAATTATAAGTTGGAACTTACAATAAACAAAGCTAATTAGTTTAAATATTGACACATATGCCATCATCTCCATGTTTCCAAACAATCGAGTTAAATACTACAACAACATATCTAGTGTAATATCACAAGAATCGAGGTAAATACATTATGTACGAAACCGTTTGCTCTATGTAACAGTATCAGGTAGTCCTTGTCATTTTTAAAGGCAACAGAATGCTAATCTAAGGTCACACATTGAAAACCTGCACCAAAATGAACTAAGTTTAGTATTTTAAGTGGAGAAGGATAGAGGGGCAAACCCTTCATACCCGAGCTTCGAGGGTTGTGATTGGTCCAAAGTGTCGTTTCTAGATGGATTTTCCGACCATTAAACATTTACCTGAAATAATTTATTCAGAACCTAAAATTCTAGATCCACAACCTATTTCTTGAAAAAAAAAACATCCTCAATTTCTCCAAAAATCCAAAATATTGAACAAAAGTTCAGAGAGTAAATGTAAATATTCATCAAAAAACAAGAACCCCATTTCTCAAAATCAAATCTTTAGCTCATTTTCACAATAACCAAAAAAATATCATAATCAAAATTTACCCTTTTCCCTAAACTCTACAATAAAGATACAGAGATCAATCTAGAAAAGAAAAATAATCAAATTTGGTAACCATCAGCTGATTTGAAGCTTTCTTCTGTATTTTGAATGGATTTTGAAAAAAAGATCAACTTTTTAGGAGAAAAAACAAAAATTACCCTAAAAATTATTTGTCATTTCACTAATACTAATATTATTGAATATTTTTATTATTTCTTTTTATTAACTCATTTATTATTGATGTATAAAATTGGTTATTTTGCAATTGTTTGTTACATAAAAAATTGACCCCTTCCCCCCCCCCCCCAAAAAAAGGACAGTAAACAGATAATGTTTTCAATTGTAAATAGTGTACTATTATTTGTATTAATAAGCAAAATAGATAAGAGGAAAAGGATAAGTGATGGCTTTTTCTTCTTCAATCAGCTTAAGCTATGGAAAGTTGTGTTCTGGATTTCACTATAATAAGCAACCAATTTTATCAAAATATTTCAAGAATTCACATTTGTCAGTTTTTTTATCTACCCAAAATGGACACCATTTGAAGCTCAAGGTACAATATCCCAGAGCATCTTTTGATACTGAAGGTTTGTTCTTGTTAAAATTTCACTTTTTTAATGTTAAAAATTTGATCTTTATTTGTTTCTTCATGTTTAAAAGTTCAAGATTGTTGCTTTATAAGACAAATGAATAATGGGGTTCTGCTCTTTTGTTGTCTTTACTTAGAATTCTTGTACTTCTGTAATTTGGTTAAAGTAGTAATCTTTATATGGTTCTTCATGTTTAAGATTTGATAAGATCCTCGGTCCTAGTAAACTTGAATTGTCTACAAGAATCTATGTTGTTTTACTCGCTCCATTTTAATTTGTTTGTCTGATTTCAAGTTGGCGCGGAGTTTAACATAGTTAAGAAGAGTCTTGGATTTTGTGGTATGTACTGAAATACTCTTTAATCTTGGTGTTGTTAAACGTGTCACGTGGAAAGTTAATTGTCAAAAAGTAAAGAGGTATTGTTTTTGAAACGGACAAAAGTAAGGCGAACAGATTGAAAGGGAGGGACTAACATGTTTTTATTATTCTTGATGATGTTTTGAAGCCACTGTTCATTTGAACCACTTTTGCCTATTAGGCATCTGATTTGTTTTTCATGCAATTTCTACTGATCAGTTTGTTATTCGCGGTGCCCCTCTTGCAGGCCTTCCCTCTGAGATCACTGAGGATTCTAAGTTTGTTTCTATAAATGCCGAAGACCCAAAATATGGTCCACCTGTAAGTTCTGGTTAGTTATTTTACAGTAGCATCAGTCATTATATTCCTATACTCATTTTGGTGTTCAATGTGGGAACTACTATGAAACAAAATTTTAGAGAACTCAAAATTACCGGCATTTCTGAAGGAGCAGAAATTTTCGAGATTTTGTGACTCATAAGATGTATTAGAAGTAACTCTTGGTCAGATTAAGAAGCTACGGCAAAGGGAATAAGGATATCATGTTTTAACGACTGCATACAATGTTGTATGAAAGTTAATACCAGATGATGGCGGTTTTTGGATGGCCTTCAAATGTTTTCTTTTCAAGCTAAAAGATTCTTGAAAGATTAGCACATGTTAGGTGTTTTGTCTGATATACTTTGCTAGATCGTTTTTATCTTAAATGAAAGCCTCAATGACCCCTTTTACAGGCTTTGTTGTTGCTGGGCTTCGAAGTGGACGAAGCAGCAAAGGTAATTTCTAGACTGATTACCTTTTACATGTTCATGTTTGACTGTGCTGAGAGTTTTGTGTGTTATAACGTTGCCATTGGTGAATTGGTGTGTCAGATGGTACTCGGAAAGAAACAAGAATCCTCTTAATGCTATATATCTTAGTATTAGGATAAGAAGGTAAAACAAATAGAATAACCATATCTGATAAATGGCAGTAATTTTGATGTTGGTAAAACATGCAGTGAAAAGGAATAATACATAGATAAACACCTTAACTTGGCCTCAACTCGTCATCATTGTGTCCGTTGAACACTCCAACGTACAAAATAATCATCTAGACACCTTCAAAATTTGTGTGTCATGCCAGTGTCGGTTGTCCACGAGACACAGAGGGGACGAATTGGGGTACCTAGATGTGAATTTTCAAAGTTGGAGTGTTTAGCTACGAGTTTAGCCCAAGTTAAGGTGTCTATGTATTAGTATGCTTAACTAAAACTGCATCCTCGGTATACATTTACATCGGTAACTGATCCCTCTATGTTTTTTTTGTTGCAGATACAACAGCTTTTGAAAGAGATGGATGGTGAGTTCCTCCAGGTAAATTTTACTAGACTTCTTCACCGCTAACGATTAGATAATATTATCTGAAGCCAGAGAGCCTGTATAAATTAACTATATGCTTTTTCTGTACTAAATGAGTAAATGTCATTTTCTTGAAGTTCCGTCTAATACAACATATGCTGCAGGTCATCTTTTGTACGGAAGACATGATTTCTCGCTCACTTTGGGAAGCAGTGAACACAAAACAGACCAATTTAGATGCTTCAAAGGTCAGATAACAGAACTATCTCTACACTTCTACACACACACGACTGTTGGTGCACCTACATTAGATCGAACATTTTTTTTTTCAGAGTCTGTTTAGTCCGCTGAGAGATTCGTAAGTCAGTAGAAAATGAAGAGAAACCTCTGGTGTTAGAGAACCCAGAGTATTGTCATATTAAAATGAAATGGTTACAATGGCCCTTTTTGTTTTAATAATATATGCTTATCCTCCGCGTCTTTTACACTTCTACTCAGTTAATTAAATGTTAATGAAGTGTCGTCTTAAGCATCGTGAAGTTGCTTGTCTAAACGACAAACTCATCGTAACTTACTCTAATGTGGAGGTATCATTATGCAGATTGCTAAACAGCTTCCGCGAATTTGCTTCCTGTCTGGCCTTACCGGAGAGGAGATGATGATGTTTCTTGACGCATTTGAAGAAAGTGGTAAATAACTTTTTCATATTCTGCATTCACAACCAAAAATCTTTTATCTTTTCGTCTGTGTTCATAGCCGAAGATCGTAAAATTAACGAAAAGATTATGTCTAAACAGAGAAAACTCAGTAAAGACAAAGAAATACAGGACTATCTTGAGATATTAGTAGGAAAAACAGATTTTTATAGAACTTTTATTAGTAAAACACATTAGTATTAGAATGTTCTCTTTGTTCACCAGAGACGGAGTCATGATTTGACGTTTATGGATTTGAGATTCTGTTCCGTTTATACACGTTCCTTACATTTCTTTAGACAAATACAGGATTTGGACCAAAGTTACATCGTTCTCTTTCGTGATCTTTTTTCCATATCAATGATAAACAAGGCATTAGACCGATACAATAACAACCGATTTCATTTCTATCATTTATGAACTTTTTTTTGAGTTCAATGTGGCCTGTGATATCGATGATCTTCTACATGGTCATACTCGTTGACCATTGTACTTTTGAAATTATGAGTTCAGAATTCAGTATTTTTCGAAAATTTTATGTTTTTTCACATATATATCTATATCTATGTTGTGTGTCGAAAATACTGGATTCAGTTGAACACATATATAACTATGTGCAGGACTTGAAGACCCCGTCTTTGCTGCTCTTGTTCCAAACAGCGCGGAGAAGCCATTAAAAGAATTAATCGATGAGATTATGGGAGATCATGAACTACTTGTAAGTTTAGTTCACTTCCTTTTGCCAATACATACTACAATTAAACATGCATTATCTACGAAATTTTGTCGTTTAGCTACAAAATTACGTTACTCGTGTCTAACTAATTCCGATTCGTTTGTTTTTTCTACAAGTATATATTATATCAACAGGTTTTTTTTCAGCATGGCTGACATTTTCTTTATATTTTTGCAGTCTGCCAAAAATTCAAGCTAGAGGGAAAAAAAATGTATTTTTGTTTTTTATAATTGGCACTGATTATAAATTTTGTTATTTAATTTTTTACACTATCAATATATATATATTTGGTTTATCTATTATACATTGTTGCCTATTTGAGAGTCCTAAATATGTAAGTATTAAAATAATTTAGTTTTATTCGAAATAGAATGTGGAATAACAATACATATATAGTAACAACGAATAATTATCAAAACACATTATTATTTCTTTTCATAAGATCGATCGAGCTCATACATTATTATTTTTATTATTGACTGTATGAATAATCCTGGCATAACTAGTTCATAATTAGTTTTGGGCTTCTCCGTTCCTATACATTCACAAGTGGTGTGTATCATTTCCAATTATTACCAAAAAAAAAGAAGTGAAAACCATATCACGTATCGTAAATTCAAATTAACCGAGGCTTCGTTATTATCAAACATTCAATAAAAGAAAAAGAAAAAGAGAGAGACTATGTTGTCAATATTGATATCCTTATATAAGGTCTATCGAGAAATAATTAATTGACCCCCGACCCCAACACACATAATTATTATGAAAACGAAAGACCTATTTTTAATTTTTATTTTTAAAAAAGAAGGAAAATATCTAAATTCATGTATGTCTATCTAAAATTGCTTTAGTTTTTTTCCATACGATTAAACTTCTTTATAATGGTATTGTTTGTTTGAATATTATTTATCTGTTATAGAAATAATGTTATAAAAAATATAATTATATAACACAAAATGATAATCGATTACAAAAAATACTTGGTCGTTATAATAAAATTTTTTACTATATTCATTTTACTATTATAAAGAGATAATTTTATTATATATTTTATAGTTCATCTAAAAACTTGTTGTTAGCCTTGTATTATACATCGTAAAATAAATCGAACTTGAATTTTTAAATTCTTCTGAATTTTTCCATGAACTTTTTACTTTGATTCAAAATTACCTTCGAGTTAAACCTCAATCTTTTTTTCCCCTTTCCAATATATTATTTTTTTGTATTCTAAATAATGTCATTGTTAGAGTGCCCAAAATATTGTCTTATTGTTGTGCTATCATTTTTGTGGAAAAAATTTAGTGTTTGACTAATTAAAAGTAGATCCATTCAATGGATAAACACTCATTAATTCAATTCTTCCAAAATAAAAATAATAATATGACAAAATTTGAGTAATCAATAGCTTTTTTTTTAATAGTGGAACACTAAGTTATGTATTTTCCTTGGAAGACCACTAGCAAAAAAAAAAATCATGTTGATTTGATTTTTTTTTAAAAATATTTTAGCGAGATATTATTTAAAGAAATATATTGTATAACACGATATGAAAGGTGAAA